ATGCCTCACATCAAGACTTCTTTAAAACCGAGAAAAACCGAGAGTATTTTTTGACACCAAGTAAACGTGATAGTTTTTCATTTGACTCCATTAATCTATTCTGGTATTAGATTGCGTTGTCACGTTAAATCACCTAACATTAGGTGGAATAATGAGTATCTATTATACTTATTGTTAAATTAGTGCTTAACTTTTATTACTTCATCAATCGATTTAAGTGGAATTGAAAAATCGTAAAATTAATATTAATTTGAAAATTAAAAAAAACCCCGAAACAAAAAGAGCTGATAATCTTCAAACGGCAGAAAAGATTTTCTTGAACCGTAGTTAAGAATACTATCGATCAAGTCACCTTTCAATCCAAAAAAAAACTATATCTACATTGGTTCATCCGTTTGGGAGCTAGGTTATGATGCCACAAACAGACACAGGTACACAGATTTAATACACAGATACAAACGTTAAACATATAACACCCTTTCAGATGAGGTGATTTTATTTAAAGAAAGGTTTTATTATTTAAAAATCTCAAGTGTTGATCAAAGCGTTTCAAAATGGCAAATTTTCAAACCTAATCTTGTTAGAAACGCAGTGTACGTAAGATACTTGGAATTCAAAAATTGCCTATGTTAGGGAATTTATTTAACTTGGAAATCCAAGTAGAAAGCAACATATCAAATTTTAAATTAGTCAGTACCTATTTATTCATTATAAATATAAAAATATACTTTATATTTTGTATAAAATTAGAACTTGTGTAAAATTATCTGAAAATAATAGCGTTGAACTTTAGATAATAATATTTATAAAAAATTAGCAAATTGTCAATTAGGCCATATAAACTACTATAGATTTTGAAGTACCGTGATAGATAACATGATAAGGGACCTTATCCCGTAATGCTCTTACAGTGTTAACATGCTATCACAATATAATGTGATTAGTGATTGCTTTCAGCAACCCGAATGTTAATCTTTATTAGGAAGAGGAGTTCATACTAAGATGCCGTTATGCGATAATATTATAGGCAATACGGAAATAACTCAAAAATATTAGCTGTTTTGATAACTATGTTTTAACAGATTAAAATGCCTGCAATCTAACATATAAAAATTAATCTTTATTTGTTCGTATTTCATGCGCTGCCATACCATTCACTAGATTGCGGTAAAACTTTGTCAACATATTGCTTGCACTTCCAGGAAGGTTATAAGCATAGTATATTTAACTTACAGTAGGTGGCGCGCGTAGCGTACCGAAAAATTTATTTGAAAGTTACATATATCATTCAAGGAATGTATTATCATTTTCAACTAAATAATAGAACTCTTTCAAATTTAAAACGATATTTCCGCAATTATTTCTTCTGCGGCGGCTACGCGCCGGATACCAGCTAGTTTTAAATAAAAAATCACAATTACGTCATGTTATGAAGTAGTTAAGAGTAGGGTTCATTAAGAATTCATTAAAAACAGGAATAAAAAATTGTTAATTCGGGCCAAGGTATTTTTATTTTAAGCCTTATTTTAACTCTTATACAGTTATGTTTTTTAAATGTTATAATGATGGTACAGGCTTCCAATGTATTAATGGTCTGTACATAAATGATTGTAGCAAAAACATGTGACGTGAGCTCACCACTATGGACACTTATTGGCCCATAGCTGAATCTGTTTGGAAATGTGAGGAAAATCTTGTGCATATAATCAAACGAGCTAAAGTCTAAACAAAGGACGATGGAGGTGCTTGTCACTCCTAAGAGGTAAAATTAAAAATTCATTCGCTATATATAACCCTTCAAACTTGAACACAATATTTTTTGTAAAATAATGTTGGATTTCTTACAGTAGTATGCAATGCCGTTAGAGTCTAAAATTCTCCATTTATGAAGTATGAACCTTAACAAATGCACAAATGGTAGTAGGTTTAACGGTGGTAGAGCCACGCAGCAGTTTTTGCTGTTGCATGTATGGGCCGGCTCGAGCCGGGTTGGTACCACGACCTCACAGAATACCGGCGTGAAGTAGTAGCTCTGCTTCTGCGTTTCGTCTGGTGAGTGCAGGTGGCCGGAGGCCCAATCCCCCCCCCCCCCCATTAACATGGTAGCGGAATTACACGATGAACTACCCCAGGAGGGTACCAGTACCCCTGGAGAATCCCTCGCTGAGCATCCACGACCATGTTATTCCGATCCTGAGCGTGGGTGCTCAGGCTGCCCCGCGTATTCTGGGGGGGGGGGGGGCAAAATTCCGCTCAAAAGCATAACTGCTAGGGGCAAACTGAGCAAGAACACCAAGGCGACCCCTGCCACGTTATCCGTGAATTTCTGCAACATCAGGGGACTTCACTCTAACCTAAACGCCGTCCACTACCATCTCGAGACGGCGAAGCCGGCCTTGCTCTTTCTGACCGAGACGCAGGTTTCCTCTCCGGCTGATATTTCGTATCTCTCCTACCCGGGGTACAAATTGGAGCATTCCTTTGTGCCTCGGGCTGGAGTTTGCGTGTATGTCAGAGAGGACATCTGTTTTCGACGCCTCGGCAGTCTTGAAGGTTCGGACCTGTCCATCCTTTGGCTACGCGTAGACAGCGACGACCATCCGCGTGTCTACGGGTGCCTCTATAGGTCCCATAGCGGTAATGCCGAAACAGACCGACTCATCGACCACGTCCAAATGGCTACAGATCCCTTGCTACAACAGGTCCCATCCGCAGAGATCGTGATCCTTGGCGATTTTAACGCCCACCATGCCGAATGGCTCGGTTCACGTCTAACCGATCATGCCGGGAGATCTGTTTATGACTTTGCCTTGGCATATGGTCTGACACAACTGGTTACTTCGCCTATGCGGATTCCAGATGTGGAGGATCATACACCTTCCCTGTTGGACCTTCTGCTGACCTCTCATCCGGACGGATATCAGATTTCCGTCGATGCCCCTCTCGGCTCTTCGGACCATTGTCTGATCCGGAGTGTGGTGCCACTCACGCTTCCTTCGTGGTTGCGTTCTGCAGGTTGCCGCCGTGTTTGGCATTACAGGTCGGCGGATTGGGACGGAATGCGGTCTTTCTTTGCATTCTACCCATGGGGGCGGGTTTGCTTCTCGTCGGACGATCCCAGCGCTGTTGCTGACTCTGTCACTGATGTGGTGCTACAGGGAATGGAACTATTTATTCCATCATTTGTGGTATCCATCGGAGGCAGATCTCAGCCTTGGTTTGGTCGCTCCTGTAAGACTGCATTACGCAGTAAGCAGGAGTGTTATCAAGCCTGGGCTGCGGCTTCGGCGACTCGGGATGTAAACACCAGCACACTTAAAAAGAAGTATAACTTCGCCTCCAGGTCCTTCAAAAGAGTTATTGCCAAGGCAAAGTCAGAGCACATAGGCAGAATTGGCGAGAAACTAGTTCGCCTTCCTTCGGGAACCCGTGCATTCTGGTCTCTCGCCAAGGCTGTCCAAGGGAATTTCTGTAAGCCATCACTACCATCTCTGCACAGGGAGGACGACTCACTGGCCCACGCCGCAAAAGAGAAAGCCGACCTTTTAGGCTTTCTTTTTGCGTCCTATTCGACTCTTGATGACGGGGGGAACACACCGCCGACCATCCCGCCGTGTGAGTGCTCCATGCCGAATGTGCGGTTCTCACAGCGCTCGGTTTGCAAAGCTCTCCTTTTCCTGGACATCCAGAAGTCGAGTGGTCCTGACGGAATCCCCCCAATTGTGCTGAGGACGTGTGCTCCGGAGTTAGCACCGGTTTTAACGCGTCTTTTCCGGTACTCCTACTCCCAAGGCGTAGTCCCGAATTCATGGAAGACAGCTTTTGTCTACCCGATCCCTAAAAAAGGCGACCGCTCAGACCCGTCCAACTATAGGCCTATCGCGATCACCTCCTTGTTCTCCAAAATAATGGAATCCATTATAAACTGCCAGCTCATCCGGTACCTTGAGGATCACCAGCTTATTAGTGACCGCCAATACGGTTTTCGTCAGGGTCGATCAGCTGGTGATCTTCTGGTCTACCTGACCCATAGATGGGCGGAGGCAGTAGAGTCCAAGGGGGAGGCGTTGGCCGTTAGTCTGGATATTGCGAAGGCCTTCGATCGGGTTTGGCACAAAGCGCTTCTTTCGAAGCTCCCTTCCTATGGGCCTCCCGAGAAATTGCGCAATTGGATCACCAGCTTCCTTGCAGATCGGAGCATCAAGGTTGTTGTAGACGGTGCATGTTCTGACTACAAGCCTATTAACGCTGGTGTTCCACAAGGCTGTGTGCTATCACCAACGCTGTTTCTTCTGCATATCAATGATATGTTGCTAACTGGTAACATTCATTGCTATGCGGATGACAGCACTGGTGATGCTCTATACACCGGCCGTGCCAATATTTCTCGGGAAAACGTCACCGAGTACCGGAACAAACTTGTGTCTGAAGTCGAGTCTTTGCTGAACAAAGTCTCGGATTGGGGGCGACTAAATCTAGTCCAGTTTAATCCTCAGAAGACACAAGTTTGCGCGTTTACCGCTAAAAAGAACCCCTTTGTCGTATCTCCTCAGTTTCAAGGCACTCCCCTTCTTGCCTCAGGCAGGATTGGTATCCTCGGAGTCGACATATCGAGTGACGTGCAGTTTCGTGGTCACTTGGAAGAGAAGGCCAAATTGGCCTCTAAAAAGCTTGGCGTGCTCAGCAGAGCGGGACAGTATTTCATGCTGGCACACCGCCTGCAACTTTACAAGGCGCAGGTTCGGCCTCACATGGAATCCTCCGGGTCACATGGTCCTCAGGGATCTTTTTGATTCTTAATCGAGATTTCTATTGGCCACAAATCCATTTTCCATCAGGTGGACAGTGCAGCCGTTTGTCACCCTTTATTCTATATGAAAAGACGAATAATGTTTTTTATACTTTGTCAACTGGGCTTGTGCCTAGCAGCGGGCCGCATACGAAGAAAATGACTGCTAATACTAGCTCACAATAGTTGTATCATACGTTATGTAACATACCCGGGTCAAATAGCAGGATCCAATAGAGAGCGGTGATCATGATGGCAATACTGATGGCGATGTTGTATATGAACCAGTACATGCTAATAAACCACGGCAGCTCGGCTCCATCTGAAAAATATGACTAAAGATTTATTTTCTTACTAGCTGTGCCTGCGATTTCATACGCCCGCAATTTTCTACGCACCCTAATAAAATATTATAAAATTGATAAACTGTTCAATAAAGTACATAAATTATATACCTAATTTATTTATTTTTTCGACGTAACTAAACAAAATTACTTTTATCAAACTTTTTTTTTAAATTTACTAAATCTACTACCGCTTCTAAATGATGTACTTCCGACTCCGACGGGAGAAGAAAAGGCGACAGACACCCTGCAGGTATTTTTTCACTTTTTAAATTTAATATTCTGTAATTATATACACAGGCTTATCGGTAACTGAATCCATAGAAAAAGGACGATTGAAAATTTTGAATTCATCATTGTATATCGAACTAGCGAACTAACGGTAACCCACATGGCGGGCCCGAGGTGAAGCAGCATCTTCCTGATAACGTGTCAATAATAATAAAAACTGCGGTTTCCAAACCCCATTAAGAGGCAGTCTATGTGGGGGTATATGTTCTGCAGTGGAAATTTAATGGGCTCTAATAAATTAATAAATTAAAGGGCCTCAGTGAAGGACTTTCGCGGACTTGGCCGTGTGACGTATTGGCCTAGGTAACAGCGCCACGCCACACAAAATAATTTTTTTAACTAACTTAACTGTTCTGAGTGTGATTAACTCACTTCTGTGGCTTATAACAAAATGAGAGACTCTTGTAAAAATTAAAATAATTTTGAAAAATTCCTCATTTAGTATAACCGTTGGTATCACGCGCCAAGAATACATTAAGTCGTTCCGAGAATTTGTAGCATGCATAGTTATATTTCTTGGAAGATTCGCTCGTCAAATTATGTATATTTTTCGTTTTTATATTTTATTCTTTGAAGACGCAGCAGTAGAACCCGTCATCTGTTCCGTCTTGTGGATGTTTTGATATCGGATATGGCAGCATAACCATCTTAAAAATTGCTTGACGGGAAATGTATACTAAAGTTAAGCCGACGCCGATGTTCGTGTTATAAGGATTACCTAAGTGTCGATTACGCCCTTTTAGTCTTTCATCGTTTTAGATGACTGTGATTATCGACGATATGTGTACTATATATCATACTAATAAAAAGTAAAACTAAAGAATGCTAATTATTTCGTATTTTGCAAAAAGTTTTCGTATAAACTATAAATATAAACCCCTTTCCTCATTCTTTGGTTACATGTTTTTTGCCTAAAGATTGTCTTTTTTTTATAGAATAATGGTGACAAACGAGCTAACAGTCCACCTCATGGTAAGTTGTTGCTGTGGCCCATATACATCTACATCAATCCTCGATTGCGAATCAAAATGCAGATGCGTTGTCACCCGTGAGGACTAAGGTAGAATGCCTCGTTTCCCGTAAAAAGGGTCTCCGGTTCTGTATACTCACCATACGAAACACAGCAGTGTCAAGCTGCTATTTTAGGATGGTATTCTGTGAGAGCGTGGTCCTTCCCCGGTCGAGCCGACGCATTCGTGGTACAAATATACTACTAATATAGCTGCAGCATGGCTCTACCACGTACAGCCAATATATACAATACAATACAAGAAATCTTCCAGAGCAATAAGATCACCAATGTAAGTTTATTTCCGTATTAGTGTACGATAAATTATATTATATTGATTATTTTATTGATTCAGATATTTGTTTAATCGATAACGGGCAATTCAGACGCACCGACGAAGATAATACGTAATTTAAAGGAGTAACAATGCTCGAAAAATACTATATCAATAAAACATCTTAGATATCAATATAATTACTTATCGTCTACCGGTGGTAGTAATATTGGTCATTATTATTAAATTTACTAAATTAAATTATGAAATACGGTAACGTAAAATAAAAACAGGTCAATAAAATTGAAAAAAAAAACTCAATTTTTTTTAAAATTATACGTAATAATAAGTGTAGGTACAGCTTGAGATGTTAAAGGTAAAGTTACATCACAATGTAAGTATGTGGGACAGTCAGCGCTAGCGCAATCTCTGGTAGTCATGACAAGCGGTGGTGTTGCACAGTCAGCGCACTATAAGAATAACGACTAACGAATACCAAATGCTGCTTCGAGAGCGTGTTGTATCCATTGTAAAATGTCACGATTAGGCAGCGCTATATTGACGACTGTAAAGGTAGCTTCGGTCTTCGGTCATGCAATTTATCCTTGGTCAGGAACCAACATCCGTGATGCAATGCCTCGTTTCGTCAGTTAAGTGTCTCCGGTTCTAGCCACTAGCAAACACAGCAGCATTATTTTGCTATTTCACGCTGGCATACTGTGCGAGCGAGGTCCTTTCACATATCAATTTTTTTTATTTAAATATGTAGCATAATTGTGCTAAACATTTTTAGATACATTTCTGAGAAGGATGTGCCGCAGTAATATTTGGTATTGTGACATCATCGTATTTAAGCAATGTAATAACTCACGTAGTGAAACAGTAGTACTTTCTAAGTCGTAACACGTTAATTTAAAAAGGATCGCAGAGTTAAAGTTAAAAAAAATATTTAATGACAAAATGTGACAACAAGTTATTACGCATTATGGGTCCGTTAATATATATATATAAACCTCACACCTGTCAACCAGAGGGGTAGGCAGCGATTACGGACTTCTATTTAACATGATCTGATACACCCCTCTCGCTTCTTTCATATCCATATATCTACGCTTATATACTCGTCGGTTAAGGGTACTCCCAATAAATCAATTTGGTTGACGAACTCCCGTCCAATGCGTCCGTTTCCGACTCTGCCCCTCACTTCTGCAAGTCGCGTAAAAAGTTACCGTTCCAGTTATAGACTATCAAAAATTTTCTGCTGAATATGCCTCCCCTACAGATAGCCTTACGCCAAGTGTGGCAAGTCTGTCCCTTGTATAATACCTTTAAATATGATCGCGAATTTGCAATTAGTATCATCTTATCGTTCCATTCCTGTTAAATGGATTTTCAAAATCGATACGTATAATAGTTAGATTGGTAAAAGAAAAACCTGACTTCTACTGTAAATTCTGCTTCAGATTGCTAGATACCTTAGTGTTATTGGACTATTGGAGTTATTCCGTATCTACCAGGAATTAGGAAATTTTTGGTTTACTTATTAACTTTTACCAACTTTTATGATACGCATACTCCAACGCATGCTACAATGAACCAAATAATAATTTTCTATAACGCTGGAATAACAAACGAATTTTTGAAGTTCACACAATAAAGTAAACGGCTACTGCAATCTGTGCATCTGTCTGGCACCTACAAACAAATAAAATCAAGGACGCGCTGTTGTCCCTAAGAACTAAGATGAAATGCCTCACACCTTATGATAATACTGGCTCTTTTATCTGCTTCTTCGGGGTATAAATAGGTAAATAAATAGTAACTGTCCATACACAGACGGTGTTCTTTGCAGAGAAGGAGTCCTAACAGGTAGTAAATAAAAACTAATTATGAAATGTTTTGATATCTCGGAGCTATGGCAATATTAACAAATATATGTTACACGAAAATAACAGATAATTAAAGTATTGTTCATACTATTTAACATAAAATTAGATAAATTATACTTCGTTCTTGTACGTACATATTCAAGGTTTTAAACTTTATTCTTTTATATATTGCCACTTCATTTTACTAATCCGTTGGGCTATGTCGGTCACTCTGGTTCTACTGCGGACATCCTCATTTCTATGTTTATCACACAGAGAAACTCCGAGCATAGCCCTCTCCATAGCTCGCTGAGCTACCTTGAGCTTCCTCATCCGGACAGCAGTGAAGGACCACGTCTCAGTTCCATAGGTCATCACTGGCAACACGCGCTGATTGTACAGTCTTGTTTTCAAGTTTTGAGGTATACCTGACGAGAAGATGTGTCGTAATTTCCCGAACGCTGCCTCAGCTGAGTTAAATCGGTCGATTGACCTCTCGGTCGAAGGTTTCGGACTATTTGTCCCAGGTATACTCGTCAACAACTTCGAGCTTAGTGCTCCCAACAATTACCGGCATAGGTGTGACATGGACGTTATACATAATCTTTGTTTTGTCCATGTTCATCTTAAGGACTATCTGTCGGAAGGCACTATTGAGGTCATCAAGCATAGTGCTTAGGTCCTCCAGCGTTTCTTCCTAACTCTTACGTATTTATTGCGCGTCCATTGCGCGATTGCCACCTTCGGAAAATTTCTTATTTGTAATATTCAGTGACAAGCAGGATAGTGTTCTACCTGATGGTAACTGGATATTGCAGCCCATAAACACTTGAAATCAATAACAATCAAAGAAGGCCACAGTTGCATTACTACCGCTGAGACCTACTCGTAAGATGCAATGCATGCACAGCCTGTGAAATTACTATATCTATTTCCCTTCCAACCAGTATATACCAGCGAGTGCATTGCTGCTTGGAGGCAAAAGTATCAGGATGGGGGTTTTAACCCAAACGGTTAATGGCCTTCGAAGGTTATTACATATTAACCGTGTTCGAAGACGAAATGGGATGGTTCTCTCAAGTCGTCATCACACGGCAACCGCCACGACACAGAAATAAACTTACTAACAATTATAAAGCTGAAATAGCAAGTCCGCTACTTGTACCATAGGAAAAAAAGTTTCCCGAGTGGCAGCCTTTTGTCACAAAGACCAGAATATTCATAATAATTTGCCGGCGTCTGTCTTTAGGTCAATTTACAACCTGGGCATCTTCATGGCTAAAGTGGACAAACTTTTGTTACTTTTGTACAATTTACCATCTAGGCTTTCATCACCACTTACCACCGTGAAATGTCGTAAAGCACTGGCTTATAATGAGTAAATAATTTTTTTGATAGTCGATAAAAATAACGTTTATAATTTTGATGACTTACTCCCGACCGATTTTTAACCACCGTGATATTAACTTCCTTACATCATCATCATCATCATAACAGCCCTTCACAAGTCCACTGCTGAACAAGTTGCTCCTCTAAGGAATGCCACAAAGCAGGGTCCTGAGCCACCTGCATCCATCGACTTCCTTCATGTCTTACCAGGTTGTCATTCCATCTAGTAGGGGGACGCCCTACACTACGTCCGCCGGTCCTTACAATGTACTTCTAATTACGCGGGAGATATTATAGTGCAGCTTGCGTGCAGACAAAAAGTTTTTTTTGCCCCTAGACTGCAATGCTTACGCGATGAGACGGATGCACAACGAAGTATAATTAACAGAGGGATAATGACATCGGAACTGCAACGCAGGATGGTAGAGAACGCCTAATTCAAACCTGCACGCGTCTCCCTTGTATTTTTGTTAGCTTTTATCAGTTTCACGTAAAAATACTAAAACACAATATAAAGCGCAGATTTAATTAGAAAATCTCTCCGATATTTCTGTACACTTGGCCACGCGGTTATCGTTGACTTCGGTTACGGTGTCAACTCCTAAATACTGTCGTAAGATTTCAACTACACTAGAAATCCTAATGTACTACCATATTACTGTACTCTGTGGTGTCACATCACATCAAGAACGAGGTACTCACTTGTATCTATGCATTTGTATCTGATATATTTGATGTTCACATGCTATAAATTTGGAGACAGCTTTAGAGGTAATGACAAAATGAGACACAAACATCTTGCGCTCGATATACGCTTATAATGGCTTGTTATATATGTTTATTATTAATAATCGGAAATACTGTGAATAAAAGTAAGTATTATGAAGTATAAGCATTAATTAAATCCATAGACAGTCCCACCTAAGTCGAAATAAAATGCCTTTTGTCTCATAATCGTGACTGGTCGATTCATTAAAAAAAATTGATGGTTATGTTTTACAACTTTTTTCAATTCCTATCTTAAGCATGACAGACAAAAATTAACCTTATTAAGAAAGCACTAATGATATCTTTTATGAATTACTGAGAACGTTTACATTACCACCACGTTTGACTAGCGTCGTGTTTTACAATTTATGGGTTCTACGTATGGCAATTCCGCTATGTAAATTAATGGGTGAGATGGTGGTGTTTATGCTACTTTTTTTCCAAAAACCAAGGCTAAATCTTACAACTAACCCGGGGTACATGTTCACCTTATTTGAAAAATGCTTGCCCGATCGCACTTTCTTAATAAAGCCTATGTCCAGTAGTGGACTTAAAAAGGCTGATAATGCAAAATAATGAAAACTACTAACCGGAAACAGTGGTGCAAATTGTGATACAAGAGACCAGGAGTCCACTCAGCGTCAGCATCGTAACTAGTAGAAGACCCCAGTTCGTGAGGTATACTAGCCAATATGGGTTAAGAGCCGAGGCCAGTGACCATATAAGAATTCCAGTGGCCACCGCAGCCAAAATAAGTCTCACTGCAAGCATTGGCACCGGTGATTCCCCTCGCTGCCATGATGACAAGTAGAAGTCGCTTAGCTTATCGTGCGATGATACCCAGAGGTTCGACAGCGAGAAACTCTTCCTAGAACATTTCACCATTTTCATCACAATGCACTTCCTATTTTCTAATAAACGTTACAATTTATCTCTGTCCATCTATATTAAATATCTTTCGATTTCGAGCCCACTCTGCTAAACGAAATCTTAGATAAATATTTCACAACGACCGTCAAGTAAAAGTGACAGATCCAGGTAGGACTAGATAGATTTTGTTATCGTTAAACTAATATTATAATCAGTAATAACTCATAATCCGATATTTTCGCATTAAATCTAGCTGTATGCTTGTTTTTTTTTGTTGATAATATTTATAGATTAACCACGAGTATAGCTGGACAGTAATAAAAAAATATATATAAATAAAGTTTTTTCGCGAGTGTTTACGCGACGAACGACAAAGAAGAGAAGCTGTGAAACAAGCAGTTGGCAACGCGAGCGTTCGTAACGGACTGATGCTCACCGCTGTTTCTTGCGCAAACTGTGTTGTGTTGAAGTTTTAATGTAATCAGTAAGATCACAAACTCGTTTTTCAATGTCAACATTGATGAGTGAAATGAATTACATAGCTTGCACTTTTCGATATCATAAATTTCAAAAATAAATTTTTGTTGACAATCATTCTATGAGGATCATTATAGCTTGTCCCTAATATTCCAGACTTTATAGGCTGAAAACAGTTTGATCATTGCATATAAATTTATTTCGAACGTTTCGTTTCTGTTTTTACAACTTCCAAAAAGTCATGAACCAGAAAATATTGCATAAGCACTTGTGGCTGTAGCATTAAGTACGTAATACCTGGTAAAACCAATACTTAATATAAAAAAATTGCGTGCCTTTTTACGGAAGAAATCGATTATTGTAATATGTTAAATAGTTACACCTCAGGCCGATCAATAGTAATTAATGATGAATCAAAAGTAATTAAAAAAGTGATAAACCGTGGTTCATTGAGGATTAATCTTATTGTTTGTATCTTGATCCCTTTGTTCTAGTTTAATAGTTTAGTTTAATACATAATGAACAATAAAACCTACATGTAGTCACTTAAATACATTATTAATATGTTTCTTTCTTGGAACGTTCTTAGGTATTTTTTCAAAACCAGTATAACATGTTGTTATACTTAACAATATGCAATCTATGTATTGAGGAAATTGACCGTAGCCTCGATCCTTGACATATAGTTGTCTTTCAGTTTATTACAGGTATTATCTATGCTATAGAGTTTGTCAGTCAAACATTAACTTCTTTTTAAATAATAGTTATGATATGTATTCACCATGGCCGTTGTAGTTTATTATATCATTATACCAGCTGTGACCGAAATTTCAACCGCGTAAACATGTATTATTTACGTATTATTCTAATACTACTCGCGACACCATCCATATTATTTGTATGATTGGGGGTTTACCACTGTGCGATTTAATAGAAGTTTTATTCCTCGCACAACTTGCTTGTGGAATCGACTATCACCAGCAATTTTTCCAGGGTGATACTACTTAGGGACCATCAAGAAAAGAGCCTACTCTTTTTTAAGCCCCCTAATTCTCCTGGTGTTGCAGTTGTTCATCGTCGGCCCACTCTTATATATAAAAAAATATATACAGAGAAACGTAAAGAACGTACTAAATAATTGTACCAAGGGTGGATATTTGTCCTTGTGTAATTTATGTATGTAAACTAATCGCGATACAGGAAAAAATCCTAGTGTTAGGGTAACGTTCTTTTTTTTTAAAAGACAGTCAATCAATACAGATAAACTATGTATTAAATAAAATAATCTTCAAAAAATGTGCAAAATTATTTTAACAAGTAAGTTTTAGAGAGAAAAGAACTCATGCCTTAGATAGAGGAGTAACGGAGAAAGGGACGTATAGAATGGCGACACTAGTTGCCACTAGCGCCTTGTAGTATCGAGTAGCAGAACTAGGAGAATCAAGAACATTCTAGAAATTTCCATAGAAGAAGTTTCTAGAACTATCGACACCTAGTCAAACGAGACCGATATGTACTCGAACATTCTAGAAGTTTCTATAGTAGAAAGTTCTGGAAACTACCTGAGACCCTATATAAGGTCGGTATAGACCGCGACCGAGACTAGAACTAAAGTGATCAGTAGTACAATTGTGTTTTATTATTAGTGTGGTTTTAAGTTGTAATTAGTGTTCTGTAATTAAAGTGTCAATTTTGGTAATTCAATCGGCCGTTTTTAATTGTCTCGAATCCCAAGCTCGTAACAGTAGTAATACAAACGTGACAGTTTTTTTAACTGATTTAAAACAAAGAAAGTTACAGGTGTCTTCTTTGTTCGAATTCTGTGATTTCATGCTGTATACATCATACATTACTGTGCCGAGGCCGATTCTTAGACAAATAAGGAGTCCTCTCTGTACATATAAGATTACTAGCTGCGCCCGCTACTTTGTTCGCATGGAATTGTTACAATTGTTATGATAAGTGATGATGATTTATTTCTGCTTTAATTTTCACGAAGATCAAATGGATCCAAAATATTCAGTTTGTCAGTTAACCAAACCAACTACCTAATGATTGTGTCTTTTGAAAAAAATGTAAAGCCATTAGTCCTGCGTCTGATCTCTCTCCATACGTGTCGGATTGACGTCCCATCGGACAATGGAGTGAGGGAATAGAGATTTCGTCTGTGCTTGCACACACACTCGTGCACTATAGTCCTGTTCTGCGCTATTGAGGTACTATCTAATAATATTTGGTAAATACGTATAAATCAAGGAACACTATTACTCTCTACCGAAAGGTACGTACCTAATAATTTTATTTCAATGTCACGCACAGATGGCTAGAGAGTCCGTTGAGGATGGCCGCCATGACACCGAAATTCGGCCTGGGGATAAAAAGTTTCATACAAATAGTTACACCCTATTTAACCATTTAAGGGGTTGAATTTTGCCATTGCGCCGTGGTAACTCAGGGACTAAGCGCTGGCTGTAAATTTCACATTACGTGAGCAACCCGGGTTCGATCCTCGCTGGCACCAATGAAATTGTTAATTGTTAAGTGCTGATTTATAAAGTGCTCGGCGGTGAAGGAAAGCATCGTGAGAAAACCTACATGTCTGAGAAATAAGAAAAAAATATTAATATTAAAAAAATTAAATATTAATATTTTGTTCTATTTTTATTTATAAAATTAAAATAAATATTTCGAAGACCAACACGCATTGGTGCAGCGCGGAGGACATTTCCTTGCTCTAAAACCCTCTCAGAAATGAGAGGAGGAATGTGCCCAGCACCGGGATGTACATGTATAGAGGCTGTAACTTTAACTTTTAACTTTTAGTCGAGGCCTAAGTTATAAAAGGCAGCTATTGCCTAAATTTCAGATTTCTTCGGTTTGGGCAGTGCGTTAATAGATGAGTCAGTCACTCAGGAGTTCTTCTTTTATATAGAAGATAGACTATCTGAGCCCGCAATTTCGTTCACATGGAATTAGGACTTTTTTTTGATAAGGGATGATTTGTTTTATCGTCGCGGAGACTTAGAAATATACTAATTATTGCGGATAAAATATTTAATTTGGCAGTCATTAAGAACCTAACTCAAAAGAGATTATATCGGTTTAGTACGCTGCAGCGCTAGCGTAATTGTCACCATTCGGGCAACAGTCAAAAGTATTAAGTGATCTGCGGACGCGGGCGGTAACAGAAAATCGACCAATTTTGCTTTTTCATAATTTACTCTCAAATCTCTCCAGCTACTAGTTGGTTCCCCTAAGATTGCCCTAATAATAACCACCATCACCAATTATTGGTAGTACCTGAATGACCGAGCTTTGCTCGTTATTTTATTTTTTTGGAAATCATGTTTTTGGAAATTGTATTTCAATTAAAAAAAGAATAGTATTATTACTCGCCAATATTGTTCAGTTTATATTTAAGTTAATTATCGATAAAGAGTTATTAATTTGACTTTTGTACCGAAACATCGCCACTTATCATCATCATCATTACAGTTCTTCACAAGTCCACTGCTGAACATAGGCCTCGACCAAGAAATGCCACAAAGCACGGTCCTGAGCCACCTGCATCCATCGACTTCCTGTGTGTCTTACCAGGTTGTCACTAAATCTTGGCGTCGCCCTACACTTCGTCCGCCGGTACGAGGCCGCCACCTTTTTCGCCATCGGTATATACTGCGGATATCCTCATTTCTAAGCTTATAACGCAGCGAAACTCCGAGTATAGCCCTCCATCACTGGCAACACGCACTGGTTGTACAGTCTCGTTTTCAAGTTTTTAGGTATACCTGATGTTAAGATGTGCCGTAATTTCCCGATCGCTGCCCATCCGAGTTGAATCCGTCGATTGACCTCTCCGTCGAAGTTGGACTTACCTAGTGGGACTATTTGTTCCAGGTAAATATACTCGTCAACAACTTCAAGCTTAGTACTCCCAACAACTACCGGCATAGGTGTGACATGGACGTTATACATGATCTTTGTTTTGTCCATGTTTATCTTAAGACCTATACGTTGGGAGGCACTACTGAGGTTATTGAGCATAATGCTGACGTCCTCCAGCGATACTGCCATAAGGACTATATCATCGGCAAATCGAAGGTGAGTGATGTACTCGCCGTTGATGTTAATATCGTATCCTTTCCAGTCCAGAAGCTTGAAAACGTCTTCCAATGCAGCGGTGAAGAGTTTCGGAGATATAACGCCACCCTGTCTTACACATCTCTGCAGTTGAATAGGTTTCGTACTCTGGTTCTGTACTCGGATAGCCATCGTAGCCTTACTGTACAAACACTTCAGCACTTCAATATACCGACAGTCAACTTGGCACCGCTGAAGGGACTGCAGCACTGCCCAAATTTCGACGGAATCAAAGGCTTTGTCATAGTTCACATATGCCAGATATAGTGGCAAATTGTACTCCTCGAAGCACTGTACAATTTACCGAAGGGTATGTATGTGGACTATGGTGCTAAAGCCTTTTCTGAAAATGGCTTGAACGGGAGGTTGGGAGTTGTCAATTCTGCATGCGAGAGATT